AAAACAAGTATCAAAGTAATTGAGCTGGTAGTTTTCAAGAACTTGAAAAGGCAATTGTTGACAGAAAGACGACGAACACTCACCTACATGAACAGCTCCTTTCAGTGGAGTTAATAAAACAGACAAATTTCTTAACTGTAGTACATATAACTAGTGGTTTATTTAACAAAGTGAACATGTATACACTTGAAGCAAACTGAAAAATCATTTTATCAACAAAAATTAGAACTTTAAATAAGCATAAAATCAATATATTTTTTTTTAATATTAACATGATTCAATAATCATGAGTAAAGTACTAGTGTATAATCACATTTGCATATAATTAGCATAAAGCCGATAAGCTATTAACATATGGAGGTAACATCTCAGGTAGCAGAGATTATTTGAGCAACTTTTTACCGTACAGAAATTTAGTTTCAATACTTTTGCGTACTTCTCAAGTTGATTTTAGTCTTTTGCCTCAAATGCTCTGCAAGCGTGATTATTTCTTTTCGTGCTCTGTACAATAAACCGTTGAAACTTCGCTACTATGAATTTACATGATTTGCGATCAGGACAAGATTGTGGGAAAGTTGATGCGACTATCTTTGGGATCCCAGTGAAATTTTGAGACATTCTAAATTTGCATTTAACAGTTTTAATATACCGATAGTTCACAGTTGCTATTCATAGGAAAGTAAGGAATGGTGTACATTTTAACCTTTTTACCACCAGATTTTCTCTCACTCACATTTTTCTGCAATTAGTTTTGCATCAAACATATTGATTTAAAAAATTTACAAATTCTTCTGGAATTTGATTTTCACAATGAATTTTGACAAATTATAATTCATAACATCTTGGGGAAAACGTACAGTAATACAAACGTACAGCCATACAAACATTTGGTTATGAAGTTTTGTCGCTCAATAACTGGAGAACACGTTAGAAACTCAAAACTCATCTATTGCATAGAATTTGTTTCTGTGAAAGCACAGTCTATCAACAAATTGCTTCTGTGAAATTACATAGATGAGTGAAACCGACATTTGTGACTTGGAACACATACAGAAATGTTCTATATTTGCAGGTATATTATAATGAGCTCTAAGAAATTACTATTGATTATATATCAACACGAATTCATAAAATAAGAGCATGCAAGATATCTATGCACGGTTGAGATCTTGTGCAATTCAAACATGCATTGTATTTTTAACCAATAGCGTCACAAAACATTTTTTGAAGTGAGATTATATCTGGACATGAACAGATCAGGAATTATTTTAAACAAGGATTGAAACAGGGGTGCAGCGCCCCCTTACCCTGGGGAGCAGATCCTCTGGCAACCATACAATTCTGAATGACCAGGGATCACATGTGACCACAGTCTTCAACTGTAACCTGTCCGACAGTAATGTTGACCCAAGGAAGCCATAGAATGCTCCATTTTAACTTAGAACAAGTCATTGTCAATGACACGTCCCCGTTCCGTTCATAGTGACATATACATTCAAAGCAGATCATGACCGAAATGCACCTGCATATGTACAACACATTGTGCTAAATCTTAACAAAATCCATCCATGCATGACTGAGATCCGGTTCTGGAATTGTGAAAATATGTGATTTTGATGCATTTTCGGCCTTAAAATGGCCATCATTCCGCTATTGTTAAGCAGATCATGAAACAAATGCACATATCTATTTGTGACATGATGTACCA